CTGAGGAAAACCAGCTTTTTGCACTGTAAGATGTAACTAGGAGAGTGACATTTCCTTAATAATACAAAAAAGGTAAGGAGTCATTGAAGGAAATGCGAAACCCCTTGGATTGTTTTGCCATACAAGTAGTTGAACAGAAAACGACATGTTATTTAGCCAATTTCTAGTTCTTCAAATTTAAGCAGCTAATTATTACACAGGACAAAGACTTCTGTCTCAACAACTGGATTGTGTTTAGGCATCAGAGCATAGCCTACTTATACACAAAGTGACCTCAAGCAAGCTTCTGAAGTACATTTAAAAAGAGTGCTTATGAGTCTATTGACTGGAGCACAGGCAGAAAACGAGACCCAGCCTAAACACTGGGCCTTACTTCAGTAAATTTGCTTATACTCAAAAAGGAGGAATTTAATGAACTGTTTGGTTGTGCACTGATGGTGAAAAGCTCACCACCTTCTATGAAATGTCTTTGCAATCTCACCACTTGATGTCTGTTACGTAAGGCAGTAGTCATAGTGCAAAAAAAAGGTTCAACATAAGCAGTGCTCTATCAGCCTACGAAACTGAATGTACTATATCTTTCTAGTTAGTCCACAGTAACTCTCAGCCCAACATATTCATTTGCCTTTCAGGAAGTCTCACGCTGATCTAAGGAAAAAAGTGGTTTGAACTTTATATATGGAAAAGGTTTTATACACAGAATTTACACCAGCCATACACTAAATATGTATTCAGTGGTATATATTATGAAGCGGGAAGTAGATCTCTTCAGTTGACAGCAATACACTGGGATATTAAGATAGCCTCTCTAGCATGTGCCATTAAATATATTATAAATAAAGCATGAAACTATATTTATTTTAAATTAAACATGCTGAAGCAGATGCTTTCAGATAGCAAATTATAGTCAATTGTACTCATTTATCTCATGTTTGTCAGAACTGCACCTTAACAGCAATTGTTAATTAAAAACAAACCAAACCAAAACCAGGTTATATTTAAATAGAAAAAAGTGCAAAGCCTTTCAAAAAACACCTGTTTACATACATATTTATACCATGACAATCTCACATTAAACCTGGTAATGTCACCTGTTAACGTGCTTGACAGTTTAAATGACCCACAGAAGGATTATCTCCTATGTAAATGTGGCAGGTTCTCACAACTATTTAAATAAAGGAAGCAAAGCATCCTTGTACTTTAATACTGCCCCAAAAGAAGGAATGTATACATCAGTCATATCTATTCTTTGCACTCCAAATGCATTTTGCATTCTCTGTTTCTCTCTTCGTCTGAAAGTTATGTCATATGTCTATGAACAACAGTCTCCTGGGACTTTCCATTATAATGCTGAAGCTCTTCCTCACTCTCAACATTCATGATGTTGGCTGGATTTATTCCATTTTCAATTTGTTTTTGTTGTGATGGTGCTGTGACTAGTGAGTGGGCAGATTCCATTGTAGAATGGTGACTAACATCCACTTTCACTAAAACCTCATAATATAAGAGATAAAAAACTGGAGTTATTATACCAATCACCAACATTATCACCACTGCTGTCCACCATCCTATGCCCCAGTCTGCTCCATAATAGGGATCTTTCCGCTTTTTGGTTTTAGCATCAGGTTCAAAGCATATCTGCTGTGCAGATAAGGCAGAAACAACTTCATTAAGATTCTCTCTCTTTGTATCGTTACACTTTACTATTTGTTCTATATCGCGATCCACTTCTTTCAAGAAGTTGCCAACAGTCTCATTACAGGAAAATGAATCAGAAGTTGGTGATGTTTCTTGGAATTCTGGGGAAAACTGAGTAGAAGATAAGGATCTTGAAACTTGCTTGCCTTTTGGAGAGCAATGAGTTTCAGTCAATAAACTGAACTTCTTCACTGGAATTTTGATAGATCTGAGTGCAAAAAAATCCTGGTCAGTGATAAGATTATTAATCCTCTTGATGTCTGCAACCTGAAGAACAATAAATAAATAAAGCAATGTAGTTTAAACATGAACAGGTTTAATAAACCTGAAGAAGAGTTCTAGCCACCCTCAGTGACAGTGTACACCCCCTAAAAGGGGAAATTCCACATTATAAATGGAACCCAATCAAAAATATTTTGATGCAAGACAGAGAATCAAAGTTCCAAATACAAACAAAATTTTTGAAACAGACAAGAACTGAAGTATAGACTGGAAGGCGGGAACTGTATTCTAATGCAAATAATCACTTTGACTCCCTCTGAACTTGGGGAAAAAAAGTCACTCAGCCTGTATCTCATTAACTATTTATAAAAATGGAAATAATACTCCTCCCTCCCTTTCAAAGAAATGATGACCATTAGTTTATGAAGTGTTTTGCAAACAGACATACTATTACTGTAAAATGTGGTTTGGTTATTCTAGAACATCTAGGTAGATAGAAGTTCTCCTACTTTACAAAATCACCCTAATTCATCTAGTATAGTTCTTTCTTCTCTGCCTCTGTATTGCCAAGTGCAGCAATAGGCATAATTCAGGGCATTGTCTTCCTATGCCCCCTCTCTCTTTGAGAAAGGGCAGGGTTTCTACAGATTTAAGAGCTCCGCTTATTAACTCTCACAAAAAATAGTCCAAGACAGCTACAAAAAAGTAAGCTTGTGAAGGGAGGGAGAGGAAATAAAATGGTTAAAGGGGTAGTTAAAAAAAATAGATTTCAGTTAAAACAAGTGTTCAGATACTTAACTTTTTTAAACTTTTCATCTTACAAGATGAAAGTTCCTCAGATTTGGTCTCTGCAGACAAGCTCTCTTCCCTCCCCACCAATCCCACACCCCCGAGAACAGGAGCAAAACATTTGAGAACAAATAAATAAGGCTTCTGTTTCACTCACCAAGTTTTTTTATAATTGCTTTATAGTCAAAATGGCTAGAGTTGAATGTTTACATTTTGCATGAAAAAAACACCCCTGAGCATTCTCTAGAAAATTGTTTTTTATTGACCAAGTTACGAGCTTTTGAAAGCTGCATGAGCAAATGTAGCTCAGATTTTGTGCAAGTTTCTCACTACTCTGGTCAAGAAGGCTATACTACCACACATGTACAGCTAGTTTAACTACAAAGTGAGAAATGTACTGAAGGTTCAACACCTTAGCTGAGGCAAGAGCTCTGCAGAAGCCCTTGGCTCAATACTAGTAGATTACGCAAGAGTGCCAAGAAGCTAAACACTACTCATGCAAGTTAAAATCCTAAAACTGGAGATGTTGCAAAGTTGGCAGCACCCTAAGGCGCATGTAAGAAGAGTGTTCTCTTGGCCCTCCTAAGGTGCATAGGGAGGGAGGTTAGCGATGTCTGGCCAAATAGCACATGTAAATAACCTCGCTAGGAGCTAATACCCATTATGGCTAGTCTTCAGAATTTCAGAGTCCTGGAGAGCAAAGTTACTTATTTTCTCTTTATTTTTCTTTCTAAAAAATTAAAGTACCATACGAAAACTTTTAGTGAGCACTGCTGTTATACTGTCAGGCATCCAAATCAAGAAACATCTCCATGCAGGCTGTTCTATTACAAGTCTGCCCACTTGTGGCTATGCACTGTCCTACAGACTTAAGATGCAGCCGCACATTGTCTCTCAGACACACCACACTTTTTCCCAAAATGCATAACATCCGGGAAATGCTTTCAAGAATAAAATCTGTAAAATGTGGTATGAAGATTTGGAATGAAAATGTGACGACAATACACGCCTTACAACATTAAGTCCTTTTGTTGTAGTCTTATGTGCTGTTGAAGAGTTATCATATATTAACCCAGAGGGAGCTACAGTTCAGAGATGTGCAGTGTCAGCATATTTTACACACAGTAAAGTTTTTAATCATTCTAGGTTCTATTTGGATGAAAAGTGCTACTGTACATACATTCAAGATTATAGCCAAGCCAATAGTTTAAAACATTAAAGCCTTTTTTCGTAAGGCATATACTAATATTTTGTAGCATTTCTTTAGTCATTCACTCCGAGTACCTTTTCCAGGTCCAAAGAGGAGCTCTGTATGGCTCAAAAGCTTGTCTCTCTCACCAACAGAAGTTGTCCGATAAAGATATTACCTCGCCCACCTTGTCAGCCTTAGCTTGGGTATTTCTTGCTTTCGGGGGGCTTAACTACTCATGCATCTTAGCATTCCTGTTGTGTAGTTTCTGTAGGGAACACTCTACACGTCCCGCTGGGCCTGAGCGGCTCGTGGGCAAAATGACAAACCGCGTTGGGAACCGCTCTGTACACGAGACTTACCGAGCAACAATACTGCAGCGCTATCGCGTTTAACGTCTCGCCTTCCTGGATGTCCTTCGTTAGTAGCACAATATCATCCAGACGGTCTCGCGAGGTGCTTCGTCGCACCTTCTCCCTCCCTCTTGGGCGCAGCTCGGACACCTCCCCGTCCTCCTCCTGCGCCTCGCCGTCCGCCTGGAGGCCGTTTCCAAACGGGTAGGCGCGGCTGCCGCCCGCGGCGGGCAGGGCTCCGGCCGGGGGCTGGCTCCTCCCGGCCATTCTCTCGGGACGCCTCTAACGACAACAGAGAAACACCTGCCACCCGGGGCAAAGCCTTCAACCGCGCCCAGCGCCCCTCGCCCACCCGCTGCGCTGGTTCCCGGCGCCCAATCAGCAGCAGAGGCCTGCGCACGGCGCTGCACATGTGGCGTTACACTGGGGACGGGCGGAGGCTCTGCCGAGGCGAGCTGGTACCCGGTCGCCCCACCGCCGCCGATGCCAGGGGTCGCGGGGGCTCAGGGCGGCCGTGCCGGTCCCTCTCCGCGGGGAGAAGCAGGGCCAGGGCGAGGCAGCACCTACCTGCCGCTCCCCCAGGAACTCTTCATGGCAATGGCGGCGGGCGACCGCCGCTCACCGGTTCCTTCCGCGCGGGGCGGCCTGTGGCAGCCGCCACGTCCGCAAAGCGACCCCGCCCCCGGCCCCGCCCCCGCGCGCGCTTAAAGAAGCCTTCCGCGCATGCGCATTGAGTAAGGGACGCGGTAGAACTGGGGTGGACTGTTCCCTGGGCCGCGGGAGCTGTTCGCTGCGGCCCGCCCCCTATAGACACGGTGCGAGGGCCGTACACCGAGCGCAGCCGCCACCGGGGCCAGGGCTGTGGAACAGGCGTGTCCCCGGGGGCTGACCCGGCCGAGGGGGTGGGGTGCCTGGGTTCCCCGAGCCAAGCGCTGGGGCAGGGCGCCTGGCAGCGGTGCCCGCTCCGAGCGTCTAAAGATCACGAGACTGGCCCCAGGATCCCGGGGGTTTGCAAGGGACACCAGTCAGGGTGGGTGATTTTGGCCCCAAAGCAGACACGCTGCTTGGACCCGAGATCAAACTGCAGAGTTGTGCCCACGCTATAAAATGCTGCTGGGTGGGGCGGAGTGCCCAGCCTGAACCCGGCCCTGAACAATTCGAATGAGTTAACCTGGTGCCCCAGGTCTGCCCAGCCGGGAATTGTACAACGCCGGCCAGTGACGCGTTTGGCCCTCACTACTCTCCGACTCCTGCAGTTCTAGTGCTTCTCCACATCCCCTTCCGGGTCTGAAATGGGAGGCAGATCCTGGGGCTCTTCTCCCCTTTCCCAGACCTGGATTGCAGGGGTGAAGATAGAGGGCATCGAGCCGACCAACCAGTTTATTACAGGTGAGAAAAGGGGAATAAAACCTCCCTGAGCTGTTGGATATATTTCAGGTTTCAGAGTAGCAGCCATGTTAGTCTGTATCTGCAAAAAGAACAGGAGCACTTGTAGCACCTTAGAGACTAACAAATTTATTTGAGCATAAACTTCTGTGAGCTACAGCCCGCTTCATTGGATGCATGCACTGGAAAATACAGTGGAGAGATTTATATACACAGAGAACATGAAACAATGGGTGTTACCATACAGACTGTAACAAGAGCGATCAGGTAAGGTGAGCTATTACCAGCAGGAGAGCGGGGGGAGGACCTTGTATAGTGATAATCAAGGTGGGCAATTTCCAGCAGTTGACAAGAACGTGCAAGGCACATGATGGCATATATCATATGTGTAGATGTGAACGAGCCTCTGATAGTGTGGCTGATGTGATTAGGCCCTATGATGGTGTCCTCTGAATAGATATATGTACACAGTTGGCAACGGACTTTGTTGCAAGGATAGGTTCCTGGGTTAGTGGTTCTGTTGTGTGGTGTGTGGTTGCTGGTGAGTATTTGCTTCAGGTTGGGGGGCTGTCTGTAAGCAAGGATTGGCCTGTCTCCCAAGATCTGTGAGAGTGATGGATCGTCCTTCAGGATAGGTTGTAGAGGTTTTAGTTGGGGGCTGAAGGTGATGGCTAGTGGCGTTCTGTTATTTTCTTTGTTGGGCCTGTCCTGTAGTAGGTAACTTCTGGAGCTACACTATCAGAGGCTCGTTCACCTGCACATCTACCAATGTGATATATGCCATCATGTGCCAGCAATGCCCCTCTGCCATGTACATTGGTCAAACTGGACAGTCTCTACGTAAAAGAATAAATGGACACAAATCAGACATCAAGAATTATAACATTCAAAAACCAGTTGGAGAACACATCAATGTCTTTGGTCACTTGATTACAGACCAAATCTGGCAATTCTTCAAGAAAAAAACTTCAAAAACAGACTCCAATGAGAGACTGCTGAATTGGAATTAATTTGCAAACTGGATACAATTAACTTAGGCTTGAATAGAGACTGCGAGTGGATGGGTCATTACACAAAGTAAAACTATTTCCCCTCGTTTCTTTCCCTCCCACCCCTACTGTTCCTCACACGTTCTTGTCAACTGCTGGAAATGGCCCACCTTGATTATCACTACAAAAGGCTCCCCCACCCCCCGCTCTCCTGCTGGTAATAGCTCACCTTTCCTGATCACTCTCGTTACAGTGTGTATGGTAACACCCATTGTTTCATGTTCTCTGTGTATATAAATCTCCCCACTGTATTTTCCACTGTATGCATCTGATGAAGTGAGCTGTAGCTCATGAAAGCTTATGCTCAAATAAATTTGTTAGGAAATATTTCAGCTCTCTCTTCCTCTCTTGTAAAAATGGTGTCCGCTGCTCCCTTTGCCCTCTCACTTACCCAAAAACTCATCTGCAGTATAAATCTTTCTGCTTTTAGTAAAAAATTCCATCGAGAGAAACAGTTACGAGTTTCTACCCAATTTTTTTTAGAGAGAGACAGCTCTGCCCAGGTCTTGCATTAGCTCTGGTTGGCTGCTTTTTCCTAGGAAGCAGAAAAGTGGGGAAGGCTAGACTGACCACGTTCCCAAATGACACCAATGTAGGAGCTTCTGGTCTAGATCACTGAAGTGCCTTCAGCAGGGGCCAAAATTGTGGTGTACAAATCACAACAGTTGGCAAGATTGGGGTTGGGCCAGACAGTGGAGGTACACGTTAAACCAATCGAATGTTGCCAACCACAAGTGTTCAAAAATTCTGAAGAAAGAATCATGAGATTTTAAAAAATAACACATTTTGGATAACAACAAAATAACTTTTGATTTGTCTTCTCATTTTGAGCCTTTAAGCCTAAGGTTCACATTTTCAAGCTTTTCTTTGTGACAAAGTCAGGAGGGCTAGAAATTTCCAAAGAAGGGTGAAATTCTTAAGTAGTCACATGACTTCAGGTGCAGGTTTTTAAGAAAAACATTTGAGTCTCATGATACAATTGCAAGAGTTGGTAACGTGATCAGTGTTTTGAGTTTCAGAGTAACAGCCACGTTAGTCTGTATTCGCAAAAAGAAAAGGAGTACTTGTGGCACCTTAGAGACTAATAAACAAATAAATTGGTTAGTCTCTAAGGTGCCACAAGTACTCCTTTTCTTTTAGTGTTTTGAGTGTAACATAGGAGGTTAGACCCAGCTCAACAAGTGGCTTTGTCAGCGTTAGTCTGATGATACACAAAACAAAAATAATGTATTGCCTGTTACTATTCTTTCCTTGAACATGTCCACAAATTAGAGTTGCTGGCTTTTTGGAATTTGCCTTGCAGAATAAACTTCAATGCATAATACCATTGTGACACAACGTCATGACTGTTTGCTAGAGTTTTTAGAGAGAGCTGACGGTCCCAGTTATGGGTGGGAAAGGAGGTTTTGTAGGTGGCTGTTAGCAGAGTTCCTGTTAAAATGGTCATTCTAATTATTTTATTAGAACATTAATGATGTATTAGGTCATCTAGAACCTGGTATAATGTCTTAATTTAAATATAAATAAAATACATTGCAATGTGGTAACATTGTAAAATAAGGTTGTGATGCAGTGTGAAATTTAAATCACAACAATGTAATGATGTTTTGACAATAGATTTTTCCTGGAAGCATTGCTTGAAGGATGTGAAATTGCCTCAGGAACGTGGGGATGGCTCACACAAAATTCTGGATACTCTATAGTAATCATAATCCATTTAGAAACTCTTAAGGGAAATGATGCCAATGAGAAAATCAGAAGTTGCAAGCATCAAAGGAGATTTTCTATCCAGAGCAATTAAGGTGCAGTACCAAGGAAGAGAGATATCGTGTAAAAGAACATAAACATAATGGGCTGTATTCTCAGGTGCACTGGAGAAGTATATGATAGGAGTTAAATATGTGTTGGGCCCAAGGAAGGACACAGGCCGTGCAGGAGTGATTCTGCACCATTTTAAAGGAAGCATAGTGGCATGCTACAGAGCTCATCTGCTAGCAGTGTTAATGGAAAATTGTGCATGTCCAGTACAAAATTGGGAGTGATCAAAATAAGCTAATTTATGGGCATCTTCATCTCAGCATTAGTTGTAACATAGCTCTAGCTACCCAGAGCCATCTTTAAACTACTATAAGCCCTTGTGCAACCAGAGGAATTTCTTAAATGAACTTAGGGAGCCTAACAATGTTATGTTTCCCCATAGTCCTTTTTCTTCCTTGCAAAGTGTATTTAGTAGCATCTTCCCAATACTTAGCCAAATCATTAGATTAGTTGTTTTAAGAGCTATTTCTTGTTATGGACCAGATCTCTAACTGGTGTAAGCTATCATAGCTCCGTTGAAGTCCTTCTGTGTATAAGCAGCTTTCATGCACCAGTTTCAATTGCTAGTCAGTTACCTAAATGAACTTGTATCTGCCCCAATATGCTTTTCTGTAATACAAGCAACAGCAAATGGTGGGAAGATTAAATCTTCCTCCAACTACATTAATAGAGCATGTAGGAAGTTTTATGCAAGCTGACAATATTGGGTTAATTATCTACAAACCAAGATTTTCTTATGGTATCTCCAGATGACAGAAAATAGTAGTAACAAAGGAGTGGGAATTTCAGCTATTAAGAAGTGTCACTGGACTCTTGGCAAGGAATGTCTGAAACACCGACTCGTCTTTAAAAAGGAAGCTTTGAGCAATAGAAATGAAACAACTGTCATTGTCGGTAGCTGGGAAACTGGCAATTCAGACTCCATTCATGTTGCTGAAAGATTGTTTTATAAGATTGGTCAGAGTAGTGGGTGGACCTTGAGAGGACACACTTCATACTCAGTAACCCTACAGCTGAGTTTGATGATTATTCCAACATAAACTACTGATGGCATATTTTGTGTTGAAAATGGCACATTTTTCTTTAGTCTTTGGGTGGTGGGGTACAAGGAAGGTCAGGGCAGGGAATTCCACCATTTCTTTTATCTAGCGGTGCACCATCAGGGCGAAAAAGAACTGCCGAAGCAGCACTTTCCCTCGGAAAAAAAAAAGTATTGGAGTTTGCTTTGACCCCACTACACCCCTGTCTGTAACCATTTGTAACTAGTGACATTTTCCCATCAATATACAAAAGGATATATTCCCAACTTGATGAGCAGGATGGTAGCTGCACAGCTACTATGAATGCTAATGGGAAAACCGCCTTTCTCCATCCCTCTGTAAGTTACTTTGCATATCCTAATAGCGCATACTCAACGAGCAACAAGGTCAGTGTTAATCACTACATGGCATTCCAAGTGCAACTGCAACAGGCTCTCCACCCTTTCCTTTGGACATGTTGTGTCCAACGTTGCTTGAACGGAGAAGAAGCAAGGAAATATAGTCCCACTGGGAACAATAGAAGTATTTTAAGAAAGGATTCAAGAAGGAAAGGAGGTAAGGAATTGAGATGGGGGAAAGCTGATACCTTTTCTGAGTCATCCTCAGTAAATAGAAAAGGAGTACTTGTGGCACCTTAGAGACTAACCAATTTATTTGAGCATAAGCTTGCGTGAGCTACAGCTCACTTCATCGGATGAAAGCTCATGAAAGCTCATGCTCAAATAAATTGGTTAGTCTCTAAGGTGCCACAAGTACTCCTTTTCTTTTGGCGAATACAGACTAACATGGCTGTTACTCTGAAACCTCAGTAAATAATCACGTTTTGTCTTTCTGACAATACATGCATGTTACTTTCCCCTACTATATTGTAAATTACTAGCATTTTATAGTTAAAGACATAGGCCAAGATTTCAAATTTGGTGCTTAAAGTTAGGCATCTAAATACATATTATAATCCCCTGAATGAAAGGGCATGTTAGAATACGGGTAATTAAGAGATTCACTCAGATATGTACACCCAGAGGCAATCTTACAGTGGTGCATCTCCCTCTGCTCCACACTTGGGATTACCATTTAAGAGAAAAAAGAAAAGGAGGTAATAGCTCATCTTAAGTGATCACTCTCCTTACAGCGTGTATGATAACACCCATTTTTTCATGTTCTGTGTGTATATAAATCTCCTCACTGTATTTTCCACTGAATGCATCCAATGAAGTGAGCTGTGTAGCTCACGAAAGCTTATGCTCAAATAAATTGGTTAGTCTCTAAGGTGCCACAAGTACTCCTTTTCTTTCTGCGAATACAGACTAACACGGCTGCTACTCTGAAACCTGTCATTTAAGGGAGTTAGAGGAAGCAGATGCAACAATGTGAAGTCCCTGGGAGGAGAGCTCCAGTGGAACCAAGCTGTCCAGCCAATGTCTTCTTACAGGACTTAAAGGGAGGAAGGCTGCAAAAACATAATACAGCTTGGGTCTGTAATACATTTCTGGGGGAGTCAGTGTGGCATAAGACAAGTTTTTCCTCTATTTTCCATTTCTTCCTGGGCTTGCTCAGCACATACTCTCCCACCAGATCCCCAGACCTAAAGAGAGCCTTTGGCAGGATCTCAGAGAAGTGGGAAACACTGCCATACAGCTAGCTACCTCACCACCTCCCCCTTTTCTACATGGGAAGTGAAGATTTTTATACAGAAGGGAATTTTTCGGTCCTAAGATGTTCCAGGGCTCCCCCTGCTGGCAGATTGCTGTGAGGAGACTCAACATCCCTGTGGTAGCATCTATAACAGGACAGCCTGCACAAGCCCACCTGCATCTGAAGGTCCTTCCCCCAGCCTTGTGGGAGGGACCACTGGACCTGGGAACCAACTGTATACGTGGGACAACTAATAAATAACAGGGTTAGGAGTGAAGGTCACAGGTTCAAGACTGGGGATACCGAGCAGAGAACCCTGGAGAGTGCCCACTGCTCCTCAAAGCTGTCTAGGGAGCCAGCAGATGCCACCCAGAGGAACTCTGCCTGGATGCGTGAGACCAGGGAGGAGAGGAAATAGGCCCCACTGTTGCAGAGCACCTGCCTTATTGGAAATCCAGCCTTGTGGGTGGGACCACTGGACCCAGGAACAACTAAGGAATAACAGAGTCAGTAGTGAAGGTCACAGGTTCAAAACTAGGGATGCAGAGGGGGACACCGAGTAGAGAACCCCGGAGAGCGCCCACTGTTCCTCAAAGTTGTCTAAGGAGCCAGCGGACGCTGCCCAGAGGAACTCTGCCCATATGCGTGAGACCAGGGAGGAACGGAAATAGACCCCACAGTCACAGAGCACCTGCCCTGTTACAGGACCGGGAGATCTTGGGCTAGTCTGCCCTATTTAATTAGCACCACCTTTGTGATAATTAGCTGCTTCCCAGCCTGAGGGGTGGATGGAATGAATGGGGTCAAGTGTTAGCCTGATGAACATCTGGGCTGTATTAAAAGGACTGAGTCTGAGAGAAGGGAAGAGGAACTACAGTAAGCTGGTTTGGTGCTATGGGAGGCGCCAGAGATAGTATTTGCAAGAAACAGGGAAGTCCCTGAAGGAAGCTTCTGGAGTCTCCTGGGAAGGAAGGCAGTCAGACCTTGCTAATAAAGGGTTGTCAGGGAGAAAGCCCTAGGAGGCAGTGCTCAGCTAGAAGAGCAGAGAAGAACTATGAAGAGAACAGGAGTAGGGGCAAAGAGCAGGGAACTTCAGTGAGTCGTAGACTGTGAGGGGGGCTCTTGGGAAAGCAGCCTGGAAGTCAATGCTCTGTAACAGAGCAGGGAAGGAATTAAAGATAGCCCAGAAGGGGCTGAGAACCAATCCCAGAGGACAAGCTGATGTAGCTCACAAGGGGCAGAATAACTGTTTAGATGTTCTCTTTGGACTTTTGTTACACTGAAAGGGGACTGAATTTGGAAGGTGACCTGACTGGAGGACTGGGACCTGGAAGCTGCGGTAAAATCAGCTTGGCAAATAGCAGTCCTGATTATAAGAACTCCTGCAACACCATGTCCTGGCTTGAGGGGTTCTGTGATGGTGAGTTCTGCCCTATTCCAGGGTGATGCTCTGTATCTCGGGGGAACCCCCTGAACCCCCGTATTCATCCTTATAATATGATTGTGTGGTATGCAATGCAAAGTTTGTCATGTTGGGTATCTTCGGAAGGTTCATGATGCACTGAGCATTGTTGTTATAGTAAAGTTATAAGTTGTAATTTCATGTATATAGTTATGAGGCTGAAAATGTGTCCCCATGGCTTAAAACAAGCCCAAGCAAAACTCTCCAGGAGCGGAGGGGCAGTGCACACTTCATCAGGGCATGTATGGGCATGAGGCTGGGCACGAGGCTGGGCACCTAGCCCAGCCTCATAGGAACAAAGGACACTGGCCTAGGCAGCAACAGAGGATCTGTTGGGCTCTCAAGTGAGTCACTCCCCTTCCCTTGGTCGGTTTGGGACTATGATGAGGTAATGCTTACCTGACTCTGAAAGGGGGAGGCAAAGCCAAGAGGGAAGAACGAACATGATAAAAGGGAGAGATGCTTGCCATGCGCGCTCTCTCTCTCTCTCTCTCTTCCACCTCCATCTGCAGACACCACCACCAAGCGGCTGAAGCACTGATCAAAGGGGAGAGCCAGGCTGAAGGGCAACCAGCCAGCCTGGGGTGAGAAGCATCTAAGTTTGTAATGGCACGGAAAGTGTTAAGATCAGCTTAGAATGTGCTTTGCTTTTATTTCATTTGACCAAATCTGACTTCTTGTGCTTTGGCATATAATCACTTAAAATCTGTCTTTTGTAGTTGTTAAATTCGTTTGTTTTATCCTACCTGAAGCAGTGCGTTTGTTCTGAAGCGTGTCAGAGACTCCTCTTGGGATAACAAGCCTGGTACGTATCAATTTCTTTGTTAAATTGATGAACTCAAATAAGCTTGCAGCGTCCAGCGGGTATAACTGGACACTGCAAGATGGAGGTTCCTAGGGTTGTGTCTGGGACCAGAGATATTGACTAGTGTCATTCGGTTGCACAATCCAACAGCGGCTGGCCAAAAGTGCTCACTCACGTAGCTGGGAGCAGCTTACATGCTAGAGGCTGTGCGTGAACAGCCTAGGAGTGTGGGTTCTCACAGCAGAGCAGGATAAAACTGGCTCCCAGAGTCAAGTATTGGAGTGACCTAGGAGATCACCGGTCCAGATAACACCAGGGGAAGTCACACAGGGTCCCTAGGCACACTGTTGGGGGTGCAGATTCTCTAGCATCCCATTGTGAGGGCTTAGACCAGGGATGGGTAATAATTTTAGCAGGGGGGCCACTCCACAAATTTTGGTAAATCATCATGGGCCGCACATTTCTACTGTATTAATGGAGCAGGTGCAGGGTCTGGGAGGGAGTTTGGGAGCAGGAGGGAGCACCAGACTGGTGCAGAGTGTTGGGGTGCAGGGGAGGGTGACCAGTGTGGGCGCAGGAAGGGAGTTTGGTGCAGGAGGGGGCTCTGGGCTGGGGCAGGGGATTGGGGTGCAGGGTCTGGGAGGGAGTTTGAGGGGGTTCTGACCTGGGGAGGAGGTTGAGGTGCGGGAGAGGGTGCGAGGTGCAGGCTCTGGCCAGGAGGCGCTTACCACAGGCATCTACCAGCCGGGGGCGCAGCAAGGCTCAGACAGGCTGCCTGCATGCCATGGCCCCACACCGCTCTTGGAAGCGGCTGTGGCCAGCTGCTGCTGGCATGTCTCTATGCTCCCCTTGTGGGGAGAGGGGCAGTGGGTCTCTGTGCCTGCAAGCACCACCCCTGCTTCTCCCATTGGCTGGTTTCCAGTCAATGGGAGCTGTGAGGACGGTGCTGGGGGCGGGGGCAGCCTGCGGAGCTGACTCCCTGCCCCCCCGGTCAGGGGTGTGCAGAGACGTGCCAGCAGCAGCTGGCTACAGCTACTTCCAGGAGTGGCGAGGGGCCACGGCAGGCAGGCAGCCTGCCTAAGCACCCCCCTGCACCGTGGGACTCTTAGCGGCCCAGACTCAGAAATCGTGAGGGGGCAAAAGAGGCCAGACAGAAATGTTAGACGGGCCAGATGCAGCCCGTGGGCTGTATTTTGCCGACCCCTGGTATGGTTTCCACTGCCACTGTGGTGGCTGGGAGCTGTGGGGTCCCTGCCCCCCCATGTGAGGCTGTTGCCCATTGTTGGAACCCTGCAGGGGGACCCTGAGGAGGCTGTCGCCCGTCGCTGGAATCCTACCGGTGTCCTGCTGGCTGCCAGCTCCGGTCCCGTGGCCCCAGAGGCTGAAGCAGAAAATGTCACGGAGGTCTCTAGAAGTCATGACTTCCGTGACATAAACGTAGTCTTAATTAAACACGCTGATGCTGTACACTGGTGTGCTCAAACTGGGGGTTGGGACCCCTCGGGGTCACGAGGTTATTACATGGTGGGGATTGCAAGCTGTCACTCTCCACCCCAAATGCATCCAGCATTTATAATGGTGTTAAATATATTTAAAAGGTTTTTTAATTTATAAGGGGGGGTCACACTCAGGGGCTAGCTATGAGAAAGGGGTCACCAGTAGAAAATTCTGAGAACCACTGTGCACACTGAAGACTAACACATTACTCTTAATCACATAAGAAGTACAGATTTATACAAAAATAAATTCTACATACATTTATACAAGAATAATGTTTACTCTAGAGCATTCTTTGGGCTTGGGTCAGTGACCTTTGGGCCTATCCCAAGTCCTCCTTTAGCGCTTGGCTTGTGTTCTCCTTAGATCAGTTTGCTTCCTTTGCCTTGGCCTATCTGACTCCTTCCTACCTCCTGTCTGAACTTTCTGTGTCTCACCCTGAGCTCCCTTGCATGGTTCTGTGAGTGAGTTTATATATCCTCCGCTTGGCTTCTTTGTTCTGTGTTTGGTAATTTTCCACTTTCCAAACTCCAGCACCCTGCAAACTGGGTTTTCTGGGCAGGAGCCAATTTTTATTCCAAACTGTTTCCACCTTATGGGTGGTTGCTGAGTTCTAACAACCCACCATTGTTCCCACACTGGCAGAGACATGATGCAGTCTTGCAAGCTCATGGTAGATATCCACAAACAGATGGGAGCCTTCATGATACAACAGTTTTCATAGTAATGTCCTCATATCAGCCTGAATTCATAAACTTCACAGACAGATACTTTGTGATGATTTGGGGATCTGTTATGCTTAGATAATCCTTGTGTAGCATCTCTCGGGTGTGTTGTGTGGAATTACAGAGAGGTTGGACTATAAAGTCACTTTCTCTTTCTGTCTCACTCTCTCACAGTTGAGCAATTATTGAGCCAGAGAGAACGAGGATGACTCTATAATCCAGTAGTTAGAGCATACACAAGGGAGGCAGGAGTCCCCGATTCTATCACTTTCATTATTTATCCATAGCAAAACAGCTTCAGGAAACACTGAGGCAGCTCACATCAAAATATCCCATATTAAAGTGGTTAGAGCATCTCTCCTGAGAGGTGGGAGGCCCTGGTTCAAACCCTTTCCTGATAGGAAGAGAGCGTAATTGAACCTGGGTCTTCTTTATCCCAGGTGAGTGCTCTGGCTACTGGGCTAACCATTATTAGGTGCTGCTGGTGGCCGGATATTAAATAGGACCAGACCTGGGAGGCAATGAAGGAACTTTTATGCTGTAAGCTTACTCACTGACTGAGTTTAATGGCTGGCCACCAATATCTGCAACTGGAACAAACTGGCAATGAAGAAAAGGCCTTTGATTGCATTCCAGGGTGGGTAGAACTGCACCAATACAGGGCCTGATCTTCTTGTGCAGTGCAACTAATTAGAGCCAACAGGAGGGCTCTTCTGCCACTCAATCATCTTGCTACTAGCATAGGAGGGAAAAGAGGGCATAGGCAAAGGAAGAGTGACATGGCTAGGATGCCCTTGCATTACATTCATGCCTGACTGCATTTTAAGCCCCTTGTGGTTGGTATCGCATAGGGTAAATTAGAGCAGCTATTTCATTGTTCTGTAAGAAAGGGGAGGGGAACTAGTCAGCACAGTTCAGCAGCAGGATCAGGGAAGAGCAGAGGTGAATTTTAAGCCACCTATTCACACACCCTGATTTGCATCCTGTGCAGTTTTGGCTCACTCCAGGATTTGGTCCAGTCTCCTGATAAATCCAAACATCTTAAATGTTACTGCCTTCACAGCCTGCTGCGTTGATGGTACCTTTGGACAAGACAATGAGGGCACATTTACAATTTCTGTTAATTGCAAAAAGCAATAGACTTTTACATTAGCATTTTTCTGTCATGATGTTAGTAGTAATCATTTTATTAAATCTCTTGCTTATTCAATTTAATTTGCTTCACAGGTTTTTTTGGGGGGGTGGGGGAAGCAAAATTTACAAAAGAAAAATTCTGTGCTTCAGCCAATTAGAAACTGGAATATTTGCACCAGGTCAGATCTTTTAGGTGTTGGTTACATTTTCTTGCAGAACAAGCAAATTTTATATTTGCATTTATCTTTTGTATCAGTGGCTCTCCATAAATTAATAACAGTTTCATTTAGCATAATTGTACTTTAACAAATATATAGCTATACACTCCAAAATCATTGCTCCATTAAAAATGTTTTAAGCATTTTTAACAAGTTATAAAGTTTCCACTTTATATTTTATATCTAAATAACAGACATGGGATTCCAGTAAACATAATAGCTCCTTTTCATGAATTTTAAAGCAGATTCCTTCTTCCCCCATTCTTATACAACTTTTGTCTTTCTATTCTACTTGGCTTTTATACGGACATCAGAATGCTTCAGAAATCTTTACGTTCTCTTTCACTGAGTATTAGGCATGTTAATGCAAATATATTATGAATAATCACTTCATAAGGAGAAATAGTAATGCATCCCAACTCACATTAGTAAAGTGTCTACAAAGTACTAATATGCCTAGCATGACAAGATGAATCTAATGGGAAGAAACAAGGAATTTATTTTATTAGTTTCCCTCTAACCCTCAAGTAATAAATCTTAGAAGCTTTCAATATTGATTCAATGAAATGAATGGCTGAATCATTCTGGAGGGGCTCTGCCAAGTGGACAAATGCTTCCATGGTTACAGTGTGATATGCAGTGTGGTTACTGAGCTTTGTTGGTTTCCTCCCTCTGCCATTGAAGTAAAATAACAAACCGCAGGGAAGCACCACACATGGTGGGCATAAACTGGAGGCAGCTCTGAAAGATCAAGCTAGCTGGTCTTACATAGATTTTAAACAGTATATTTTCTCCTGATTTATGCAGTAACTATTCTAAATATGTAAAGGAAAGAATATGGAGGCACATGTCACTTTTTGTTGAAGAGAATATTTTGGTCATTTGTGCGAACAATCCCACACCCTGTTTTGATATTCCACAAATATAAAAAAGGCTGTAAGGGAACACTTTTTGTAACAGAGAAAACTACAAGATTCATCATGTTTTTTCTAGGGAATATTCTTAAGTTTATTTTTATATCAGGCAGTTTTCTTGCATCAGGATTGCCTGCAACTCCTCACCAAAAACACCATTAATATATATTTCATTAATAACAAAAGACGTTTATAGAGTATCTTTTTACAGAGGTGTTGTAGGCTGTTTTACAGTAAAAGATGACTAAAGGGTTTGCCTTGGCACCCTGTGTAGTCAGTATTGTTCTTACCCTCATTTCACACTTGCGTGAGTTTCAAGAGCTGCATCAGCTGGTGAAGAATCCAGCCCACAGATCTTACACATTTTAAAAACAAGCTGACAAACAAATGTTTCCTTAGTTTATAAAGCTGCACGAGGGCCAGCATTACAAATAGAGGATGGAATCCTGAACTGCTTAGATGGATTTTAGTCAGGCCAGAACTATAACTGGAACCAAAGTGGACAGTGAGGAGGTGAGCGTATCCACATCCTCTTTTCATGCCATCCAGTCCAGGAGAGAGCATACACCTTACTCCCTTAAGAGGTGGAGCAGCAGGAATGTGCCTTCTACAACCTTGAAAGCTCCAGAAAGTGTTATGCTTCCCTGAAGTACAATGCCTTGTAGATCTCTCACTGGGGATGTGTGTCCTCCGCCCCCGTCCCACATGACCATAACATTGGCTGCTGCCTTAAGGACCCATTTTAACACCAAATATGAACACCATGATTTGGCTCATGAATAGGATTTCAGTTTCACGATGTATAGTTACATTTGGAAGATGAAATCCTGACCCCAATGGCAAAACTCCCGTTGACTTCAAGGGAGGAAAAATAAACAAGAAACGAGTAGCAGCTCAGATTTTGGCCTGTAAACTTTAAGGGGAGAAATGAAGAGACTTAAAATACATAATTAACTTGTGTAGAAGATTAGAAACTGTTTAAAACTATTTTTTAGTGCCGCTGAGTACTTTTTTCCCCCTGAAGAGCAAACAAAATACTTATGGATGACTGAAGGCAAACTACATAAAAGTTTGTATGGGGCTGATAGAGCTGCTTAACACTTTTCTTAATTGGTCTGAAATATCTTCTGAGAAAACAGAAAGTAAAAGTGATGTATGTGGGAGAGAGTATACAAGACTTACACTTACATTATGTAAAGTAAAAAATTATATTGAAAATAAGATGCTTGGACACAGATTTGAACTGTATAAGAGTTTGCCTTCAGAAGAATACAATTCAGATATAAGTTTTCTGGAAAGCATTCATACTGGATTTGCTACCTAATGTCTGAAGTGCTTTGAGTGTCCCATGTCTGTTACCAAGGCTTACATGAGTTTTTTTCAGTAATTTAGTGGGCGTTTTATAAGAAAGCATTCTGAGTTGCCATCTAGTATCTACATTGTCAATGACATACTGCAAATTAAGAGATGGACACATTTGACTGGAAAAAACAAGGCTGCAAGTTTATTTAACAATAACCACACATGAGGGGAAGACAGGGAGTTCTTGCCAAGTTCTCATCTTGCTATTTCTCTGTGTGATCAGGAAAGCCAGTAGGCTCCCACTGTGGTTTGAACAGAGGCCATTAGGCCTCATTATAAGACCAAACCACCTCTGCAGAGATGGTAATCTTATTATGTGCCGATATAATGATACACTATGCCTCCAACAGCTTCAGCCTGGCAGATGGAACAACTGAATCCAAGTTTTAAACCGAGCTAGTAAAAAAATGGAAACTAAATTTTGCAAAGAAATAAATATGTAGTTGTTTTTATTTCAAAGTATTAGAAACTGACATTTTTTTCAAGTCTTTTTGTGATTTTTTTGTGTGTGTGAAATTTTTGTCAAGTGCATTGTGAGAATTTTTCATTTACCAATCAGCAGAAAATTGTTGATAATCATTTTCATAACATTTCAGTCGTGGTTTTGATAAACTATTATGAAGAGACAACATTTCCCCCAAACGAACAAAACATTTGACAATGTCAACAACTTCCCATAAGAAATGCCATTTTTGATAAAAGGACATTTCTCTGTTTAACATGTCACATGAAAAGTTTCAACCAGTTCTAGCTATAGACCATGCTACTGCTAGAATGTGACAATCAATAGTAATGCTCATCCTGTAGTCTGAGCTGAGAGGCTAGTATGAGCAGACAAGTGAGGGCTTATGCAGAGAACTAGAGAATGACCACCTATGTTGAAGTTCTCACTTTATTAAGTTCCTCCTACAAGGTGTCCTGGTCCTCTCTGGGAACCAGAGGATTCCATGAGTTTAACTTATTGCCACAGCAACCAGGTAGATATAAAGCTGTACTCTGTAGATATTACTGTTCTCCCTGTGTGTGCACTGAAATCCTCTCACTTTGGAATGACTACAAAGACAATTAACTCTTTCCTTTGTACTCCTTACCACATATGTTTCTCCATCAGGAAAGCATCCAGCAAGTAAGACTGTTGAGATGAAAGAGATGCTAACCATTCCCTGGTACAAGATTTGGTCATTTTTGCCCTTTCCCATAGCATGACCTTAACTCAGTTCCATGAAGAATTCAGCAGTCTTGCCATTCTCTATGTATTTTTCTTACTAGTTCACCACTGTTTCATTTGCAAAGAGTGAAGCTGAATGCAAGTTAAGTTGAACAAGTGGAACTTTATTAAACCCTGTGGGCTACTCTATGTGGCTGAGTTGCTTCCAGCCTAACTCTACCTGTTTCCTGTTCCCCTGGTGACTTGTCCCCTCAGTAACAGCCCCTCCTGGGGCCATGGGCCTTCTGATTCCAGTTTCAATGATACATCTTCCCTATTTTACAAACATTTTAATATAAACATTAAAAACAAATAATTGATACCTAAATCCCTTTGGCCAGAGGTTGCTAGCAAATAGCTGAGTTGGAATCTCACCTTTACAACAGACTCAGTGGTTACATAGTCTTTGAGATAGTTTGGCCTCCTCAACAGGCAACCACACTGGGAGTGACTTATCTCTGTCTCCGTATAACCTGTCTCTGTGGAGTTTCCTTCCTCCCTGTGTGGTTGGCTTCTGGATGGTTATTTGTCTCTCTGTTCTGTGATGAGTTTTGTATAACTATAGGCTCTCTATCTTTGTGTCTGTTGGCTCATACATGCCTCTGGTTCCTTTGGATCACATGTCACCCCATATGACCTGGATGCCACTGAACCCTTCATGGCTCCTTTAGTTCACTCCTTTTGGCATCTCTCTAATGACTGGATCTCCACAGGAGTGTGTGTCTCAAGGGCTGGTAGGTCCTTGGCTGACCTGTTGTACTCTATTGCCTTTTTTCTCTGGTTGTTGGCTGTCTTCTCTTGGCAGCGTCCCCATCCTTCTGGCTGTAGCAAGTCCCCTGTTCCTGGTAACAGGATTTTTGTCCTTCATCCTACACTGGAGTGTTTCGGCATCCCTGTGATGGGGTATTTCTGTGTGCCAAAAAGGCAAATAAGGATCTCAACCTTAAAAAAGGCTTATAAGGGCCTTCTATAATAGTCTCTTAGCTGTTTTCACAGCTGATTGCACCTTACCATTACTCCGGGGTATGCTGGGGAGGAGATGTGATGGTCAAACACCAACTTGCATGCAATTTCTTTGAATTCTTCTGAGGCAAATTGGAGTCTGTTGTCAGTGAATACGGTGTTTGGAATACTGTGTTTCATAAAATGGCACTTCAGTTTGCCAATCACCGTCTTGCTTCTTGTATCAGGCATGGCATTGATGTTCCAAAAATTTGAATAGTAGTCCACTCTAGTCAAGAACTGCTTTTCATTGAAGGTCAATATGTCCACTCTCCCCTTTCCCCATGGTCAGGTGGGCAGCTCATGTGGTAAGAAAGTCTCTTTCTGCTGGTGGTAGTCGTATGCTGGGCAAGTGTAATACCCTTCTATCAAG